AAACTTTGTTAAATGACTTTGCAAAGCATCTTTTAACAGACTTTCCAAAATTTTCCCACAACTGATGTAAGACTAATGGGTCTATAATTACTGAGACAATTTTTATCACCTTTCTTGATAAGAGGAGTTACATTAGCTAACTTCCAATCCTCTGGTACCTGCCCACTATTCAAAAATTAGTAGCAAGTGGCTCACATATTCAATCTTTAACCTCCTTCAAAACCTTTGGGGAAATATTATCTGGCCAAGGAGACTTATCGTTCTTTAAACTTCCCACTTTTCTTTTAACCAGCTCACAATTAATGCAGTCATCTTGTTTGATCTTGTTTCCATTTATCCACTGTTCAAGATGTGGAATACTGCTGAAATATTCGTTAGTAAAAATAAAAATAAAAGCAAAATTTAATAACCCAGCCATCTCATAATCATCAGATACGAGCTTTCCTTTACCATTTCACAAGGGTCCTACCTCCATCCTAACATTTTGTTTACCCTTAATGTATTTAAAGTAATCCTTACTGTTAATGTTTACATTTTCAACCAACCTTTTCTCATACATCATTTTTGATGTCCTAATTTACTGTTTCACCAACTTTATTGATCTTCTATAATCTTTTAAATTTCCTGTCATACCAATTAATTTATATTTCACAAATTTATGATGCTTTTCTTTAATTATGTCTTTTATACTCTTTGTGAGCCAACCTGTTTTTTTATTTGCAGCTACCCTTTCTTTTAGAGAGCTAAAAGAACGCTTTAAATGCTGGTTAAAGTTTCAAATGTAAACTCATGTACACAATTCTTTAAAGTTTCAGGTTGATCAATTTGTTGATTTAATTGACAGGTTTGGTCACTACGTGGCAAGCAGTTTCCTGTTTAGAAGGACACCAGACGTTAGCCATTGGATTAGAGGTAGGTAACGTAATCTTATGCACATCCTGTCTGAAAGATTTCATCAGAATTATCATAAAAAAAGAAAGATAACTATATATAGGTTAACTAGATGTTTGTTTTGTCAATTATAACTGCTTATGATTGTCGCTGACACTTTCAGGTAGGTGTTTAGAGTTAGAGCTGAAAACTAGGCTTAGCAGAAACCAGTTACGTATTTAAACTGGAATATTGTCACGTTCTGTGACATAGTATTAGTACAGAAACACAACTGTAAGAAGTTGTGCTATTTGAATAAGAATCTACAATACGTATAAACCGGTACCATGAATTTCTTTATTTGTAGTGACGTCCATTTTCTTCGTTGTGCGTTCCGTCAGTGAAACCGTAATAAAATGGTAGAACAAGAAGCAGAGGATGTTTCTCAGGTGAACAGCGTTTCTAACGTTGATTCGATCTTAGGCAATTAAATTAAACTTACACACAGATGGGGCCTAAGGTGAATTGTTCAGGATATCGCTATTTTGGAATATCTCCAGTAAACTGGACCAGAGAATGGGAGTATAGTATGGCCAAAGTAGGTGGTTGGAGTTATATATTACAACTCAGAGACATTCATGTGAAGTATTACATTTTCTACAGTTAGAAATCAATTTTGTTCAATATTTCGCATGTCTTTTTGTTGTTTACAAACAAACAACGTAATTCAAGAAAGTACAGTTAAAATGTTTTTACTGTGAAAACTGGATGTGGTGAGCAAAACTACCAAAAACTGAGGAAGTATTTAATGCTATATGTAAATGTTTAACTGATGTTTATTCATATTTTATGTCAAGAATCAGATCCTCAATGACAATGAAAGGGGAATGTTACAACCAGAAGACTAACAAGTTTACATCTTGTAATAGAAGTTGCGTTATTAATTGTTATCTAAAAATCTAATTTGAAAATCACCTAAATAAATTACAATTCACATACTTAATCTACTTCACACATTGACTGTTGTTATACACGAAAATTCATGTTTTCTTTTACACCATGTCTGATGAGTCCTGGTAATGAACAAAAGACCTCTTCGGTACTGGATGTAAGGTGGTTGATATATTATAACTATTCTCCTTTGCTTTCACTCATGGATTCCTTTAAATAGCATGTTAACTTTGTCAATGAAAGCGACTCCATATCGAACTTATCTTTCTATTCATTTTGTGTAGTACTAATGAGATTGGCCAATCCTCTCTTGACCGCCATGTGAAATTAACAAAAGTGGCTAAGGTATCTGTTGTGTCTACAGGGATTTATTTTCTCCTCCGCCTGGTTACGTCTGGAATCAATCCTTGTTCTCATTGTTATTCTACGATATTTAGATGAAGTTTGGTGTTAGTGAACGCCCTAACCACGTTAATAAAAATACTTTCAAGGAGGACGTTGATAGTTTGGTGTTAGTGAACGCCCTAACCAGCTGGCCATGTTGATAAAAAATACTTTCAAGGAGAACGGATAGTTTGGTGTTAGTGAACGCCCTAACCACCTGGCCATGTTAATAAAAATAATTTCAAGGAGAACGGATAGTTTGGTCTTAGTGAACGCCCTAACCACCTGGCCATGTTAATAAAAATATTTTCAAGGAGGACGTTGATAGTTTGGTGTTAGTGAACGCCCTAACCACCTGACCATGTTAATAAAAATACTTTCAAGGAGAACGGATAGTTTGGTGTTAGTGAACGCCCTAACCACCTGGCCATGTTAATAAAAATACTTTCAAGGAGGACGGAGGACGTTGATAGTTTGGTGTTAGTGAACGCCCTAACCACCTGGCCATGTTAATAAAAATACTTTCAAGGAGGACGTTGATAGTTTGGTGTTAGTGAACGCCCTAACCAGCTGGCCATGTTTACTAGGTTTTTCTTAGATTTGAGTGTACGTTGCTTGTACAGCTGATGGAGAATAAAAATTAATTAGTAATTTTGGTTCCATTAGAGCTCTTCTTTAATCTTATGAATTCCGTATTTAAACAAGGATTGGTAATAAACTTGATTAGATTTAATATTTATTTAATAGGTTTAATAGTAAGGTATAATCTTGAATTACAGAATAAGAAAGTTCGAGGATAGCTAAACTAACATTTAGTTGGACACATTGATTTCGGGAAGAATGTCCACAGTTGAGCAGATGAATTTCGGATCCCACGACAATAAGGCTAAAGGAATATGAAAAAACGTTGTGAATAATATTTTTGAAGCTATTGTTTAACTAATTATTTACAAGAGGGGGAAGCACACTTAGAATTCTTGAGACATAAATATTACTGATTTCGAACAGTGTTGAGAAAGTTACTTGTGTGCTTCCTCCCCTTTTGTTAAATAGTAATAATATATTCCTGATATTGTCGTTTTTGTGTCATTCCAAATACACTCTGGGAAGAGCTCGAGTTAGAACGTTTGTGTGTAATTTAACTTATAATTACTTTTATCTTCCTTCCCTCGGTGGAACAGCGGTAGCTACAAACTTACATCGTTAAAATTTGGGGTTCGATTCCTCGCGGTGGACAGAACATATAGTCCAATGTAGTTTTGTTCTGATACAACCCAAATGAAACTTTTTCTCTTCCACGCCCTTCATGATACTCAGGAAATCAACTTTTATTGTTCACTAGTTTTGTTTTCTTTCAGAAAGTATACCATCATCGTGAAAGCAGGAGCATCAGAGACCACGAGACTAACTTTAGCTGTGCTCACAAGAAACTGGGTGAATATTATGCTGACCTGGAAGCACGCTGTCAGATGTACCATGTTTGTTTGCTGGACATTGGTGGTCAATTGAAGCCAACAAGTTTTGTCTGTCCAAACGGAACTATTTTCAGCCAAGCCTCTCGTGTGTGTGGACCAGCTGATCAAGTACATTGTAACCTAGCAACCAACTATTACGAGAGTCTGCATGGAGATTTCTACAGAAAGCGAGACGATTACGGTGACCTCTCTGACCACATTCAGTTCATGAAAACATTTCCTCAATCATCTAAGGTTTCTAGATTATCTAACAGGGGTGGCATCAACGACTTTGGAGGTGATTCGCAAATTCCAGAAGAACAGAGAGAATCCTTTGTAATAGAAAGACCACCCAGAGTAAGGCCTCTACGTCGAAGAAAATTGCGACGGAGACCAGGTCAAGCCAGAAGAAGAAACCAGTCAGGTCCTAGACGATTCTCACAAGCAGACACTGTACAGGTTATTGGTTCACGCAGAAGAACCATTCCACCCTCGACATCCGTAAATGAACTTGATTCAATTCCTGAAAATCACTCAGAAACTTCCTTTGCTCATGCGATAAGAACAAGTACGTCCAAGCCACCTGATTCCACCGTTGGAACCAATCCTAATACCACAATTACTGAAGAAACCCAGCCGCTTGTGAACCCATTTGGTTATCAATCTCCAAATAAGCCAGAACCACTACATACTCTACAGAAAAATGATAAAGAACAGCCCGAACTTCTAAAGGATATCTCGCAACCCGGGAACACACATTTATACAGAGACTCTCCAAACATCCAAAAAATAACTCTTCCAGACAGCAGTCGTACCCCAGAAATTCCAGTTGAAGCAACAACTGAATCACAACCACTCACCCAGTTTAATGTACAATTGAAGAAAGAAAATTCAGGTTTGCAAAAAATTGATTCTTACTCTAAGAGTCCATTGTCATTAGATCATTCTATCGTCGAGGCAACAGGTCAACAAACGCTAAATCCTGAGCTAAAGTTGAATTTGGAAGAAACTAATTCAAACTCTCCTATAAATTACCACCAAACATCAGTGAATCCATTTTTATACCAATCAATAAGTCGGCCAAAACTACTTCCTGAAGAAGATGCAGATTTAAACAAAGGGTTTAATAAGGACATAAATACAAAAGATAGTCAATCTTTGATAAATTCGTTTAATGATGATGATGCAAAGTCACCTTTTCTGTCAGTAGATAAAGTACAGAAACAAAACAATTCTTCTGTTGTAGAAACACTACCCCGACCCATCATTTTGGATGCAACTGGAAAAACGGAAAGGCCATCTAGCCCTCGCTGGATTGCAGGACAAGGCGATACCCTCGACTCTTATTCACAAGATAACTCGAGCCCAATTAGGTCAGATCACTCCAGGGATCAAAGCAAGTCCGAACACGAATCAAGTATTCCATCTTCCCAAGAACCGAGAAGAAAACGATTTAGAGTGCAACAGTACGAAAGAGGCACAGCTCCACCACCGCTACTAGCTGATGGCCCAGAAATGCTTTCACACAAACCTGTAGAACAACAAGACATCAGACGTCTTCCTAATAAGGATCGTCGTCGTGGTTTAAGACGTCGGCAAGGTCGCAGAGGTCGTCCACTAAGGAGAAGGAAGGGTTTCCGCAGGCGACAGCAACTAAGTACACCGGAGGGAACACAGCAGATATCAGTAGGTGATTCAATACCTAAAAGTGGCAGTGAAATTTTTAGATTGACAGAAGAACAAGTAAATAATTTTACTCCACCTGTTGGCAGTAGAACAAATTTGCAAAATTCAAGAAGTTTATATAATCTACACGATTCTTCCTTAAAGAAACCCGTAGATGATGCTCAAGGTTCTGCTATTCCGGCTGCAGCATCTTCATCTCAATTTTCCAGATTATCATTTTCACAACGTCAAAATGCTGCTTTGCAGAAAGTTCATCAAAAAGATCAAGTGGGAAATGAGCGAACCCAATCATTTCAAAATACTTTTGTGGGTGAAACAAATCTTAATCCGAAGCTCCCAAGTGATCCCTTTGCTGATCGTTACCAAAATCCCCACCGACAGTCATCAACCAAAACTAATGTAGAGTTGGTTAGTAATGATAACCTTGAGAAGAATAGCACTACTATTTTAGGTAAAAAACATGATCAGTCAGACGAATTACAGTCTTATTCACAGGATTCATATTCAGGAGAACCAAAAACTTCTAGTTTTCAATCTTCAGAACATAACAGAACCAATAATGAAACACCTCCAAAACAAAAAACTACTCCGACCACAAATTTAGAATATAAATATGTTGAAGATAATCAGTTTGATGGGAAACTTCCATTATTCGCTTATCAGTCACCTGATAGAAATGTTGATGTGGTCCCCAATAAAGAAGATAAAAGTGTTGAAGATAGTCAGTTTGATGAAGAAGCATCACTACTTCCCTATCAGTCACCTGATAGAAATGTTGATGTAGTCCCCAATAAAGAAGATAAAAGTGTTGATGATAGTCGGTTTGATGAAGAAGCTTCATCAATCATCAACACTTTTATCTTCTTTATTGGGGACCACATCAACATTTCTATCAGGTGACTGATAAGGGAAAATCGGTTTGTTGAAGAATCTTCATTGTTTTCTTATCAGTCTCCTGATAGAAATGTTGATGTGGTCCCCAATAAAGAAGATAAAAGTGTTGATGATAATCGGTTTGTTGAAGAATCTTCATTATTCCCTTATCAGTCACCTGATAGAAATGTTGATGTGGTCCCCAATAAAGAAGATAAAAGTGTTGATGATAGTCGGTTTGTTGAAGAATCTTCATTGTTTTCTTATCAGTCACCTGATAGAAATGTTGATGTAGTCCCCAATAAAGAAGATAAAAATGTTGAGGACGAAGTACATACTAATAGAAAAGATTTTTCAGAAACACAAAACGATGGTTTATCTGGTTTCCCATCACCTATGCCCCAACATAGGGATCATTTTCATCCTATTCCTAACACTCAGCTACTTCGTTCCTCTGTTTCTGACCGCATAGAGACATCTCGTATTGACATATCTAAAAGTACAGGTGGTGATGACTTGGCAGACGACACAGTTCCAGAGAGTGTGAAAAGATCTAGAGCCAATGTTGACCAAGTGAACAGACCACGAGGTGCAAGACGACTTCGTAAAAGAAGGAGAAGAATGCGAAAGATCAAACGATCTGTTGATATTTCTAAACCGCTCCTTCCATCAGAAGTTGAGACTTGGAGAATTCCGCACAGAACTAGTTTTCACTGTGCTGACAAAGTTGCAGGTTCTATCTATGGTGATATAGAAACAGACTGTGAAATGTTTCATGTCTGTATTCCTCTTGGGAAAGGCAAATTACTAGATTACAGACTCTTCTGTGCTAATGGAACTGCTTTCAATCAGAAAACTGGAACTTGCCAGTATAAAGAAACTTTTGAGTGCTTAAAGGTAAACAAACATTTCACGTATGATAAGGTTCGACACTACCTTCTTGGAGGTAAACCTGTAGAAAGGAAGCCTTATAAATATGAAAAACGTAGTAGAAGAGATGTCATACCTGAAAGAAGTGACCAAACCAAGCCAATAACTTCCTTCACGTGTGATGACAAACCTCCCGGTGGCTACTATGCTGACTATGACACAGGATGTCGGCTCTTTCACCTCTGTGCTCCTGCCAATGAAGGAATAACAATCGACCTGAAGTTCTGGTGTGGCAATGACACCATCTTTAACCACAGAACACTCACGTGTGAACCTCTAGGAGAGGCATCTTGTGAACCAGATCCAAATTTGTCAATTAACGACCAATTATTCGTTCTAAAACAAACATCCCGCATCGAAGAATCTCATGATCAGAAGGAAAAAGATTATCGAAAATTCCAGTATCTAGAGGAAAATGAACAAAGCCTTTATGTCTCCTGATTATTAAAACCCTTAAAAGTATAAAGAGTTCTGTTGCATCTGGGAAATCCTGTGGTCTGAGTCTACTATTAAGCTCCAACTGTCGTTCAAAACCTAGAGAAACAGCAGGAGAGGACCTCAGTAAACTCAGGCCACGTGATGAACATACCGTATCACTTGTGGTCTGAGTTTACTATTAAGCTCCAACTGTCGTTCAAAACTTAGAGAAACAGCAGGAGAGGACCTCAGTAAACTCAGGCCACGTGATGAACATATTGTAACACTTATCTTTATGTCGAAATGAGTTTTAGATGTTATTAATTTGTCAACTCCACATTAATTGACAAAAAAAATGTTTCTCTATTTCACCTGCCTGTAGTAACACTAGAACGTTGTCATGGACGTGATATAAGCTGTCATGTGGGATCTAATCTGTACAAATAACAGACATGCGCAAATGTAATCACACTTAATGAATAAAATATGAATCACATGCTCCCAGTTTTAAACGCTTGTTTGACAAATTGCACCATTAATATCTGAAAGTGTACACACTATTTAAAAACCTACTCGCAAAATATGTCCATCTGTCAGAAACAAGGTTAATACTGATTGGTTAATACAACATAATGAAACTGCAAGAGATACATCAGTCTGATTGGCTGATAGTATAGTAAAAAAAATCTACAAAAGTAACACTTGTTTATAAGTAGTTATTCCCCACCCCGCGATACGTAGCTAGAGGGCGCCACATGCATGTCCACCTCAGGCAATGGTGTGGAAAGGGTTAGAGAAGATGATGTCACCAGACACAATGAAGTGGAATCAGAGGGCGCATTGCTAGGCCATCATGACAGGCGAACATGATGAGATCGATATACATGTCTCGACAAGTAATCATGGCTAGATTTAATACAGTTGATATAAAACTAATTCATTAGTTCTATATTTAATCATACTTTTTTTACATTTCCTCACGTTTTATGTGTAAATCTCTAAATAATTTAAAACCTACTGTATCACTAGTTTGTCTTTATACATACATAGTTACTAAGATTAGTGGTTCTATAAATGGAGAATGATGAGCTCATTGCCTCAACCTGTCAACAATGTCTAGATTCAATTACATATAAAACTATTATTGATTTAATGGTTCTATAAATGGAGGATGATGAGCTCATTGCCTCAACCTGTCAACAATGTCTAGATTCAATTACATATAAAACTATTATTGATTTAATGGTTCTATAAATGGAGGATGATGAGCTCATTGCCTCAACCTGTCAACAATGTCTAGATCCAATTACATATAAAACTATTATTGATTTAACACAATGAAAAATTCTCGACACCATATTTCTTCTTAATGCTTTATTAATTTCTTCACAATAAAGATTTTGAAATCTGATCTACATAAAAGACACGTCTATTAAGGACTTATTTACATGAAAACGTTTTGCAACAAAATAATAAACAAACATATCATTATAATCTTTGTATGATCCAAATTTAGGAGTTATCGATTGGACACATGTCGACAACTACAGTAAGCATAATATATACAATATTTTTCACACACAGACAAATATGGTCCTTGCCATACATTTGTATTTTAAGTCCAACTTTGACAGTTGTTTTTTGATGATTTATTTATGTGGAGGCAGTCCTAGGGGATCAAAATATTATTTTATCTCATCCTGACCAAAGTAAATACAGACCCAGTAGCTACCAGGTTTATGACTCAGATCCAGATTATAGCTAAAAATTAGTTATGATATTTTGTGTATTTGGAAAACTAATAAGTTTAAATGTACATAAAGTTTTGAAAGATGTAGAAACGAACATGTAATGTTTTTTTTTAAATGTGACTAATGAACAAAGGTAAAAACTTGTCATCGACTGATATGTGGAAATATCTCTCAGCTCCACACTGTATGAGTTGCCATGTGACAACCTCCTAACAAACTGTCTTTATTTCACTGCCCACAACGTTTGTATGTGTCTGATATTTCCTATCAGTGTCTTAAAATTAGGCAGTCTCAAAGTTTTATGAAATTTTAGCCTTCAAGCTATTGATTTATAGAAAATGGATAGATAAGCAGTAAGTCATTAATTTATTATATTTAGTTGTAGCAAAATAATTGTCCTTTTCAGAATGATAAAAGTATGTTACGTAAATTATTGGTTATAATAACTTTCTTATTCAAATAATGGAGTTTTTGCTGACTTGTCAAGACAAAAATTGAACTAATGAATTGCTGTTTTATACCAACTGTATCAGATCTAGTCATTGATTACATATTGAGACATGTATGATGGTCTCATTATGATTGTGATTCCACTTCGTGGAACTATAACGTAATGTCCGCTTGTGATGGCGGCCTAGCAACGTGACCATAGCAACACATTCTCTGGTTCCACTTCGTGGAACTCTGACGTCACCATCTCAGGTGACGTCATCGTCTCTACCCCTTCCCTCCCTTCCCATTGCCTGAGGTTGACACGCGTGTGGCACCCACTAGAGGTGTATCGTGCGGGTGGGGGAGGGGTAAATACTTTTATACTCTCCACTTTAACTAATACTCTAAACAACTGATACTCCGAGTTCACAAATAACTATCTCTTTGGAAGTAATAAATGTTGTTAGAGGCTATGCTTTGTAACTAGTATTCTTACAAGGAAAACTTTATTAAACAAGCATTCTTAAGTAATGGGTATAATTTAGTGAAACGTTACATATCTCAAAGTAAAATCTATAAGATATTCAAAACGAACTTGGCCTGTGTCTGTTAACCCGAAGACTGTCCCTGTTCATTGTTGTCCTGAACGACGATTTTAAGTTGTTTTCTACTTATAGGTTCATTACATTCATTCAGCACGTGTTTGTTAATACTTGAATTAGCATGTTATTGTATATGAAAGCTTAACTACGTAGTGGTGGAACCAAGATAAACCTAAAAACGTAGAG